TTATTTTTACATTAAAAACATAGTTTTTCCCAACATAATGGACGCCATCTTGGAATTTGTCATGATGACGTCATCATTCCGATCAATTTTTTTAATGAGAGTGAAGAGTAACTATTTAGCCAAGTTGTTGTTGCATTTCATATCCACAGTATATGTAAAAGTGACCAAAAACATAAACTTCATTCCCCTACCCCCATCTTAAATAGTTTAAAATAGGGTATTTTAGGCCAAAATTTCAAAGTGCTGTAAAACAAATTGCCCAAGCCCTAGGCATGGGGATTTTTTTTTTCTGAGACAATAAAGGGTATGCTGATTCAGAAAAACCAAAAATTAATTTTCCTTTACTTTTTTCCCGCTAAAGTTCATTTCAGCAGTTTTACAACCAGGCTATTGTGGTTCTGGTTCTGGTGGGTAAAGTCGACCTCCTCTAAGTACTTTACAAGTAAGAGTATAAAAGGAGGGGTAGAACTTGAGTCGAATCGCTGTTGTGCGGAGCTCCACAAGGTCCCGGGACCCATACGATCCTCTACCCATGATAGACTCCTCGATACAGCTAGCACCCAGACCCAAAAGAACATATTATCAGTATAATGTGTCTCTGACATCGACTGTCAGTGGCGTAACGAAGGGGCTGGAGGCCCTGGGGGAGGGTCCTTTTAGGGGATCTGGAATGAAGGCCCCTTGGAGGTCCGGCGTTTTCAGTGTTCTATGACGTACTTCAAGGCCTTTTTTACACATTCGAATTCTAAGTTCATGCATCGTGATGTGACCCAAAATAAGCATATCACTAATAGGCCTAAACACATTACAATAAATAGCAAGCAAAACAAGCTACCGGTAATTAAAATTAATAAATATTTATGGACAAAAACATATGTATCATACTCACGTGTCAATGCTTTTGCTCATGGTTTAACTTCTTGTTTCACGTGGTTGTTGGTCTTAATGTGTTTTAAAATATAAGTTTAATGTTTTTGTTTTTTGTTTTTTTGTTTTTATTGGATATATAGACTGGTGATAGAAATGCTTCAATCACTCTGCAGACTTTGGCTTGGAAAATGGACTTGAATACTTGAATTTGCTGGGGTACCCTTGAGGCTGCGGGCCCCCTGGCTTTAGCCAGTGAGAGCATAGCCGTTAACACCACTGCACTGTCTACTCAAGTGACAGATTAAAGGGGAGGGGGAAGCCGACCCGGACCCCTTAAATTTTCCAATGTTTTCTTACCTCAGCCACAACCATGGGGCTGAGGTGATATAGACCTGCACCATCTGTGGAAGTCCCTCACTGGGCCCCCTTCAAATTCCTGGATCCGCCACTGTTAGACTTCCTTATTCGTCACATATTGACTTATTTTAATGATTTACATGGTCTCTTTAACAATATATTTTATTCCATTATTAGTGAACATACATGCGTTTGTATCAGCCGCACTCACTGAAGTGGTACGTTCCACCAGGTTCCACTTTACGGAGCCCCTAAAGGGACATGGTTAAAGAAAATATTTCGAGGGAACGAAATCATTTCGTTCCCTCGAAATATTACTTCGTTCCCTCGAAATATTATTTCGTTCCCTCGAAATATTATTTTGTTCCCTTGAAATATTATTTCGTTCCCTCGAAATACTATTTTGTTCCCTCTATTTCGCCCACAGTGCCTTCGGCGTCGGCTGTTCGTCATGGGTGGCGCAAGGATTTGCCCAAGACGAAAGCAAAGTGGGTATGGTCGAGCTACGATTAAAAGGTTTAGACAGTTTTTAAATTTTGACAATTTAAGGGTTTCAAAGGCTTATTTAATCGATATTAGAGTCTACTAATATGTAGAAAATACATACAATTTTTGTTTCTCCCCGACGAATTGTGCTTTTTCTCCATGACGGGGGGTGGGGGCGAATCTTAGATAAGATAGTATAGGCTCTGTCTCTTATACACATCTAGATGTGTAGCATAATATACATTAGAACCCCTCCTTTCAGGACAGTCCTCTTCAGGGGACACATAAGGGAACACTTTTCCGTGAAACGATGCGTGTCTGGACAATTACCCCCCGGAAAACCACCCCCATGGACAATTACCCCGGTATATTACCCCCCAAGGACAACCACCATTTCGTTCCCTCGAAATGATTTCGTTCGAATACTCTTCTGCTCTGTCACTGTACTCTACGAACGTAATTTGAATAATTAATTCTGACATGTGTTGCTTTTGTAGCGTGTCCTCGTCCAATATTTTGTAGACTCGTATTAATGTAAAACTGGTTTTTTTTAAATGATATTTTCACATAAATAGGAACTCAAAATATGCCAGTAGGGTAAGACATAAAAAAGAACGGTGCTCCGATATATTTCTTCCATAGCTGTGCACGCGTCTGGACGGCAAATCGCACAAACATTTTGTCGTTACTCAAATTAGTATTATGATGAGGCATCACACTTTTTCAAGAACCGTTCTTCGTAGACAGATATAGAATCTTATTTGTACCAATTTATGCATCTTTTTAATTCATGTGCAACTTTGTATTTTTTAATTTTTATAATAATTACCTTATATTTTAATAGCTATTTTTATATTGATGTTTAATGTTTAGGAAGCACCCTTTCCAATAGTTGTTTTTGTACAACTTTTGCCACTCATCCTCAGTTTCCCTCTTGCTTCGTCCTTGTCTTTGTTCTCTTATGTTTTGTATTGTTTGCTGAAAGGAATAAAATAAAATAAATAAGGTTTTATTTTAATTGAGTAATTTTTAAAAATTTTAACAGGAATTTTAACAGTTTTAACCGATCTGAAAAATCTTGCTCTATTTTTAAGTTTATTTATTTTTTTGAAATTCTCTTTATATAGTGTTTGATGTTTGTATTTAAGACTGTATTTTTGTTGGCATTGAACGTGTAAATGTTGTGTACCGGTGCTTTTAACTTTTAAATCCTGCCGACTAATTTTTCACATTTCTGTTTATATTTTATTGTGCAGACAATAAAGTTTCTTGAATCTTGAATCCATATGGATCAAGGCGCGTGATGTGAACGTCATAGACTCTGGGCATGCGCACCATACTGCTTTGTTGAAAGTCTGTTAACCTCATACCATGGAGGAATAAAATATTTTATTCCTCCATGCTCATACGGAGTACAGTACGTAACTGTACTGTGCTTCCATGATCTAATTTTCCCAGGGCAGTACATTGTCGAAACCAGTTGTGGGCGGTTCATTCAATAAAGGCGGTGGCGTGTGCGTGTCCGATTTATTCAAATTACACTAGCGGGTTTCGCACTCCTATCCACAATATTGATAAATACTCAATTCTTCGCAAACAAGTCTCGGCCTAGGTGTATAGGTCTTAGATGAAAAGGCTAATCTGTAATGATGTACTATAACAATAGTTAAATAACGTTATAACACGTTAATAATTCAGTTACTATTATAGTAATACTATATTATATTTTTACTGTTATCTTGTTTATCTTATGTTGTCTTGATTTTGTATTATTGCTTCTAGTGGTTGTTTTATTTAATATTATTCATAAAAGGCCTATAATAAAAATAATGTCCTTTATTTGTAATCAAATATAATTTTGTATTTTAATCATTTTGGGGAGTATTCCCAGTAAATGCAGAACGTTACAAAGGTTGTTAACGTAGTCAATTTTATCTGTTACTGTACTGGGCATTGTAACGCGCCTTTCCTTTCACCTGCAAAGCGCAAGCCAAGTGTCCTCCAAATTTCAAATTATTCCGAGCAACCGATCCACATTAGTTCCAGGAAAAAAACTGCCCTAAAACCTCGAATTGAAGCCCTGGCATTTTTTTTTTTTTTTTTTTTGCCAACTTCGGATGGATTTCTTTTCGAATGGGCTTCTTTTCGAGAATACTTTTGCAAAGTAAAGAGGGCCCTCTCGTCTCCCCATGACCTGCGCCCATGGTTGATAAAATGATATTAAAACGACAAACAATAGATTACAGAAATAAAATATATAAAATAGTAAAATGGGAGCCTGTATTAACATTACATTAAAGTTGAACATGTTTATACTGTACTGTACCATCAAAAACAAATGACTTTCTAGTTCTGCCGAGTGTATTCGGAGGACGTGTCTTATGCCAGATTTGTTAAATAGGCCTATATATAAATTATAGAGAGGGTGCCATGGCTAGGATCCTTCATGGTTTTCCACTTTTCTTTGTTGACGCACTTCTCATAAAAATCAATGACAATGTCAACAGATCTGACTTATACACTTTTTTTTTAAAAGAACCAGTAAACTTTTTCCCAGGGTCAGTGTTCTTATTTTTTTTTGTGTTTTTTGTGTTTTTTTTTTTCAGGCTCAAACTCAGTGTTCTTATATTAAACACTTCTCAAATATTATTATTCTACAGCAGTATAACCGAAAGGTCCACTGATTAATCTTAGATAAGATAGTATAGGCTACTCCCAAGTATCGAAATGCACGCCATCGTGTCGGGATTCAATATTTCGACATTAATTTTGTCATGCACGCCATCGTGTCGGGATTCAATATTTCGACATTAATTAAGTCATGACATAATTAATGTCGAAATATTGAATCCCGACACGATGGCGTGCATTTCGATACTTGGAGTATCACAGTATTGTATTGTCTTAGCTTACAGAGTGTATTCCATTATCGCACCAACAGCAAAATGAGGTAGGCATAAGATTTGTAGGTTTTCGTATTTTTTGAAAAATCTCATTTGACATTTTACCTAAGCCACAATTTGTTCTTATTTTTTGTTCTTAATTTTTAAGTAATCTCAGCGGTGTTCTTATAAAATGTGTTCTTAATAAAAAAAATAAAAAAAAGTGTAGACAGTTCTTCTATTTATGTTCAGTTTGATTTATTTCCATTGGATGCACCGCACGTCCACTTCAGTTGCGTCACACTGATACGAAAGTGTAATTCCTAATAAATAATAGTCTGATTTCCCCCTGAACAACTTATTGTTGCTCAGTGAAGAGTATCATTCATCCGGTTTATTAAAACTCCATTTCAGTGAGTTAGACCTTTGCAACTAACAACGTGGAGTGTTAAACCACATTTTTTTGCGTCCTAAGTTACACCCGATACTTTCTTTGCAATGCCAGGCTTAGAACCAGGATATAGGCCAGTAAGTTGCTTTTCTTCATTTTTTGTTTATGCACTTGAAATCCAGAGTAATTCGATTTTTTAAACATTGTTTTTTCTACGTTTTTTCAGATTATACCACCTCGACTTTCGAGTGAGGACTAGGCCTAGGCCTTAGTTAGCTAGGCTAGCCTAGGCATTAATAAAAAGTTGTAATGTAGGCCTAGGCGTGTTACTTCCAAAGCTGCTAATACTATACTAATAGCAGTGCTATAGCCATGTTTGGAGAAAATATATTAATATTTATATAACACCTGTAGCCCTCGGTCTCTGCCGATAAAATGGCAGGTCCAAAGAAGGTTTGGTTGGAGGCGTTATTGAAAAGCAAAATCTAATAACTGCTGAATTTGGAGATCTCCCTTCAAACTTGGTGGAATTTTTGTACAGCCTAGGCCTAGCTTTAGGCTTAGGAAAGATAGGGCTTTGTCATTGGCCAATGAGCGTGTGTGTGTGTACAACTACCAATAATGGTTCTTCATTCGATGTGTGGAATCTGTTGTAGACAATTTCTTCCATTTCGTGATAGCTTTGATGATTTCAAAGTGAAAATTGTCAGTGTCGCAGTATAGTGCTCAAATTACTGTAATGGCCGTTGACCAAATTTTGTCGCTAAAAAAACAGCTCAATATCTTCAGGAGAGCTGTTAGTAGCTCTGTTTGCTATAGCATTATTTATAGACTGAATGCAGAGGATCTGAAGTTAGTTTCTAAAAAAAATTTTAAAAAAATTTAAAATTTAAAATTAAATTTTAAAATTTGGTTTTAGGGCTAATTTTTAGACTTCTATGTGGCGTACGGGACACGGCGAAAAACTGTCTAAAAAGCGTAATTTACTCCACAATAAATAAAGTAGCATGATCAGGGCTTAATGTTGGCTTATATAATATCCCATCATGTTGACTGGCAACATTAACAACTGTGTATAATCAATCTATTGGTAAATAAATAGGAAAATGAATAAGTTTTAAAAATAGTAAAATTCAAGAAAATCGTTCTTGTATAAAATGGCTAAAAAATTGAACATTTACAATAATTTTCATAAAACTTGTAAAATGTTTTGTATACTAGTGTAATATGCAATTCACCCAAGAGGGTCATTCCGTGCCAACTCAACAAATGGGATGGCTGGGTACCATCTCAGATTTTCTTAAAACATGTCTGACGAACAAACCCAAAATTTGACTTGCCAATTCCAAGTCGTTTAGAAGTTACGGCCATTTGAAATTTGATGTTTTTATGTGAACACATTGCAGTGATCTATAAATTTGCATGATGGGATATAAACTTTGGAGGGAATTTTATAGATAATTTCTTTGAAAATATTTAAATGCTACGGAAATAGCCCTAACACACTAGTCTTTCCACAAGAAATATAGATAGGCATAATACAAATCCCTAAAGTGTAATCACTAAAACTGTAGCATTGAAAAGCAGTGATATGGTGTAGGACCCTGCTCAACACAATGATTTAGTTTTTTTTTTTATCAGATTAGATGAGTATATGCCAGGTTGTATAATTAATTATACAGAACTGGTTTATGCTGGTTTTGAGCTGAATCTATGCCTGCACATGGTAGCTGCATTATTAGAATTAGTTTAACTAGGTACCGTACTTGCGCGAATAAGCTCGCGCCCGGGCGTTTAAAATATTTTTGCACTTTCTGAGGGGGCGCTTATTCAAACGGGGCGCTTATTCAAACAGAGTGGAAATTGAGTGGGCGCTTATGGAAATAGATGAAAATCGAGGGGTTCTTAAAATTATTAAAATTAAATTATTAAATTAAATTATTAAATTCAAGAGGCACTTTTTTAATGAAAAGGACATTACGAATGGTGGTTAGGCGGTAAAGATAATCCTCCAGAGAACATGGCTCATGACAAGAATGTGTGAATATTTACATAACAGCAAAATAGCAGATGCAATTAGTAGTGGTGGGTAGTGGTTAGCTTGTTGGCCATCGGCCAATTGAGATTGGCAGGATCATTGTATTTTTTCTTGAAAACTCAGATGAGAATGTGCTAAAGGTCGGAAAAAGAAAAAGAGTAGTAGGACTAGGCATAGACAAATATGTAAAAAGAGTAAAGTTGGAAATATACTGTCTGTCCAGCGATCGGAGCTCTCATCTGTCCAAGAGAAATATCCTCATTTTGATATTGACCTAAGAAGAATGTGTTTCCACTCTGCAGCTCAAATCATGCCAACAACCACAGTCCCAGGATTGATTGGATTATTGACTTGCTAAAAAAATCTTGATATTATTGAAGGGGCGCTTATTCAAACGGGGCGCTTAAAGAAATGTTCACGTTAGGAGGGGAAGTTATTCGAGAGGGGCGCTTATTCAAATGGGGCGCTTATTCGCGCGAGTACGGTATTAACTTTTGAATGTACATACTGTACAGTAATATTTGGAACAAATATTTGCTCTTTAATGGTCATTAAGATAAAACCTTGTGACCTTGTATCTTAATGGATATACCACTCTTTGGTACAGCATATCTATTTTAGTATCTTGACAGATTAATAGTGCAGTTAATTTTTACTTCAAGGTTCAATGTTGATTTCCCCTTATCTACTGATAAATGCAAAATAATCAATTTTTTAAAACTGTTTTTTTAATGAGTACCAGACAGCCTGCTGGCGTTGCAACTGCATTTTTAGATAGTATCTTCCTCATTCCTGCCATGATGACGAGGAGTAAGATACAATTAATGTAGGCCGAGAAGGCAAATGTTTTCGGCTGTGCTCATCGGCACAACGACGACCAAAGGAGGACAACGGTAGGCCCAAAAGAGCGGAGAGTCCTAGGCCCAATATCCCCCCCACAAAATAATTACAAAACAAATTCGTCACTCCTCATGTTTGACGTTTTTAGCTTGTAGGCCTAGGACATGAACGAGGACAAATTTTTTTTTTTAAATTTCGCGCCTAATACGATCTAGTCTTTGCAGTGATTGACCTGGAGGTCACATTTCACCTGATAATCGCTTTTTTTGTGTTGCAAAATGTGCACAGCCAAAATCGGTTATTTGCCGTTCAAACACGCTATCCATTGCATGTCTTTAATCAATTTTTTTTCAAACTGGTCCCGTTTCTACTGCGAGAATAAAAGCGATTTTTCAAAAAAGCGATTTTTAATCGATTATTTCTTTCCAGTAGAAATAATAAACTAATAAATCTGAAAAACACTGTACAATGTACAACATATGCATAAACACCAAGTGCCTAGTTTGCCAATTGTTTGACAAATTAATCTTAACTTTGGTACATGGGGGAATAATTTTGTCATTCCTCCATGGTTCCACATTGTGCATGATTCCTTTATGAATGGGATAAGGTCTCTTGATCTATAAAAGGAAATGCACACTATAGAATGAAAAAATTCACAAGGTTTTACCATTTTCTGTGTTTCTAAAAAATCTGTTTGAAAGAAGCGCAGTGAAAGAAAGCATTGCTTTTGTTTTTATTATTGCAGTCTAAGAAAGGATTTCTTGAGCGTCTGAATGATAACGAGGTTGTCATTGGTGATGGTGGATATGTGTTTGCTTTGGAGAAGCGAGGCTATGTGAAAGCCGGACCCTGGACACCAGAGGCTGCTGTTGAACATCCAGAAGCTGGTAAGGTCTACCCTATTAGTTTATACTAAATTCAAATAGGAGTAGGTGCATTTTCTCTATAAATTCCAAACCAATAAGTATTTTTCACATATTTTATAATATTTGTGTTCTGACTTTTGTAAACAAACACTTTCAGTCCTTGGCTGCTGTTTTGTATTGTTTTATATTACCTGAATAATTAAATACATTTTATAAGATGTATTGCTCCAACATGAACCTGGTAATTCTTTTTAATTTCAGTTCGCCAACTTGCCCGCGAGTTTGGTCGTAGTGGTGCTGATGTCATGCAAGCTTTCACATTTTACGCCAGTGACGACAAACTGGAGAACAGAGGCAACAAATCTCAAGAAAAACACACTGTACATATTTTTATCAGTACAGCATTGCATTGCCTAACCACCAGTTGTCCTTAAATACTTGACAATGAGAGATTACAAGTTGCATGCACAAGACTTTAGAAAATTTACCCCAGGGGAAATTTTATTTTCTGAATGCTCAAAAATGCATTCAGGATCTGATTTTCATTGACCTTAATATCTCGCAGCGCTTTATATAAAACATATTCAGTGCAGCTACAGTAGTTAGTGTACATCAATGGTTCCAAACCTTTTTGTATTCGTGGACCCATACTCCATGTATAAATATTACTCATTGTCCATATTCCAACCATAAGATTATATAGGATTCACCACAAAACATTAAACAGAGGAGGATCTTGGAATTTGAAATAGAAACCACCTCATCACCAACCATGGTTGGTGTTGAGGTACATTTTTAGATGGCTAGAAATACAACTGTCCTTCAGCATGAGAGCGTGAGATGGACCCCAAATGCTTGAGACTTGCCAGCTCTGAATTTCTGTATTACAATTGATGGTCTACAATTCGAGACCATCTTTGGGCCCTGAAAATTTGGGGTGGCCTCAGGGTTGGTCTGCAATTAGAGGGCTAACTTTGTGTCAAAAAGTTGAAGATTGCTATTTGGGCCTTTGGAAAAGTGGTCTCGAATTAGAAGGGTCTGGAATTGGAGGGTGCACTGTAATTAATTACTATTATTGGACATGTATAAAATAAGTAAAACTGTACAGGGCTGAGTATTATTAGTATTCAAACTTTTTACATGTATAATAATTTTTGTCCCCTAATTGTTTTTTTTTCTTTCAGGGAGCCATGATCAATGAAGCTGGATGCAAGATTGCTCGGGAAGTTGCTGAGGAGATCAATGGATTGATGGCAGGAGGCGTTTCACAAACACCTACCTACCTGAGTGGCGCTGGTAAGGAAAAGGTTCAAGAGATCTTTGAAAAGCAGGCTAAAATTTTTGTAGCCAACGACGTGGATTTCTTGATTGTTGAGGTGAGATTAGTTCAGTTGTCAATAGATTTGATGATTTAACAGGGTTACCAAACAATTGCTGACTGTAATCATTGTAGTGAAAACGTTCCATGGACATGCATTAAATATAGTAATAATATCTTAACATCACAAAATGTATTCCATTCAATACTTGTTTGGTAGCATTTTAGATTTTTATGTGATAAAGGCTTATCCACAACATTGTTATATTACTGGTTTAGTGATGGATTCTTGTTCAATTAAATGCATGTACAAAGTTTAAGACCAGATTTTAGTCTTCGCCACCATATCCCGGTTTCTGTGCTAAAAAATAATTTAGTTGCATAAATGTCACCCAAGACCACAGAAGGGCTGTAAACTCATTCTCTATCAAAAATGTGTTTTTAATGTAAATGCATAGAGCACATCATTAGCTTTATAATAAGGGATCAAAGACTTCAATCGGACAATGATAACTAAAATGCTATTTTAAAGTATAATTATTCTCCCTAAACTGGCCTATAAAGTTTTGAGAAAAAGGGCTTTAAAAGTACAAGTAAAAATTGAAGGAAATCACAACAGTCAAAGAATACCCTTAGCAACAACAGTTCCCATTGAGCTATTGTGATGAAATTTTCAATGGTTCCTAAAAATAGGTTGGGGAACAGAAATTTTTTATTTTCAATCGATACCACCTGGGGGTTAATTAGTGATACCCCGGTGAAATTGGTTATACTTTCATAAAGATGAAGCATCCACTTACTGAGTATGGTACCCCATTGTTCTAATGAATTTAGTAGGCATAAGAAATGCGTTTCATTCATCAAGCATTGATAGATAGTGTTTTGTCGGTGTGGTGCATGAAAAAGGGACCGGGGTGGGGAGGGGTGGGGTTGTGACTTTTTTCTTAATGCCCCATTCCCGGCAAAATTTCACTAAAAACTGATTTTTTTTTTTTAAATAGAAAATATGCATTTGCATTACTCCAATTATTATAAATCATGGAAAAATTTGGCATGAATTTTAGGTTTACGCAAAAGAATAAAAAAAAAATGAGACTATTTCTCATAAAATATTACCATTTTCTCGGCAAATTCAGAGGTTGTAGATCGCATCCACTGGAATACTCTCGCTTTTATGTACACTTTATACAGTCAATAAAGTGCGCCCTCTCTAATGAGATTAGTTTTTGTACTTTGCATCTCGCACAATGTGGTCGTTCGATTAAGGCGGAGATATGTTTAAGTGTCAAAATCTCAGTCAGAATCAGTTTTTTAACAAATTTGAAATAATTCCTATGACAATGGAAAATATCATGTCAGCCGTTTTTATGTGTGATAACAGAACCTAAATCGAGGTGAGACTAGGCCTAGCCTAGCAGCGTTGGATAGGTTAATGTTTTCAACGCCTACAATATTTCTTCTCGCGACCTATCGCAAAATCAAACATGAAAATTCATCCGCATTTATTTCTTGGGGAACACAAAAAATCAAATTTCAAATTTTTTTTTTTCATTCTTAGGAATGTCTAAATTCTGTTAAACTAGCAATTCCGTATTATATTTATAAATCTTTATAACATTATACAAATATACAAAAATTAGATTTTTCTTAACAACTGAAATTTTGCTGGGAATGGGGCTTTAAACATTTTTACAAATTTTAAAAATACAAAATTTTCATTATGCACATTATTTACAAGTAAAAATTATCAGGATTTCTATTGTTGCAAGCAACATGTAGGCATGGAGGGGTGGGGATTTTGTAAATATTGAGAGGATAATTTTATAAATTTGGGGGTTGGGGAGATGGTGGTTGTCAAAAAAACATTGTAAAATAAAATTATCAATTTCTAAATTTCATTAAGCACATATGTAACATAAATCAGGATTTTACAAAAGGCCAGGCATCAAGGCCCTAGCCTAACACGATCTCCGATTCAATAATGGGGCTCCCTGGTAAGTCTACTGTATGGTGTTTGTTCGCACTTTCTTCAACGCAAAGGAAAAAGCCTCTCACAAGCTGTTTAACCAAAACAATAATTCCTCCATTCTATCGTTAATGTACCTACAACTAATAAAATGCCTTCATAAAATGACTAAATTTCAGTTTACAGCCCTTCTGTGGTCTTGGGTCACAAATAAAAGAATGTGCAGTAATTAGTGAAATAATGAAATTAATATTCGTGAAAAACTTCAAAATTAAAATTAATTCACTCATTTTGATTAACATAACAGTAACATAACATAACGCCAACGCCAACATAGAATTGGCACGTTCCACCGCAAAGCAATACAAGAAAAAAAAACCTGTCAAATTCAGGGCAATTGGCATTTTAAGTTAAAAAAAAAAATCATGTAACAAAATGAAATATCCCCAGTGTTTCCAAAATTGAACCCACAGAACACTTTTATATCTGATACTGAAATGAGATGTGACCTTGATTGAACATGGCCCACAGTCAGTTACATGAATGCAGTTGTGGGTTGGGTTGCTACAATTGCCTTGCATCCTATTTAAGAGTTATTTTAAGATTGGAAATAAGGCCTTGAAATCTAGTCTTTGATTTTATACATGTATCCTTTGAAATGGTCTTGATAGTTTTTCCTTTGTGTTGCAAATAAGCTCACTGTACATATTAGGCGGTATTTCTTAATACCTTGTTTAGCGAAATTTTTTTTTAAATCGTGAAGAGGATCTCTTTAATTTAGTAAAATATTTTATGTAAGATTCCAGTGGAGTATATTTTTGTTATCAGAGGGTGTGCTAACTTGCTAAAAATAAAAAATTAGTCGAAGGGTTTGCTGAACAAGATATGAGAAAATCTTGCTTTAAAGCATTGTTAATGGCCCTGTCACACCAGCGTATGCTGATATACCAAAGTTTCTGTAAAACGCTACGTACGTAATGTACGTTGGGAGATAAGTTCGATATTAGTTGCACATAGCTTCAAAGCATGTTACTTACAGGTTAGAAATACGTTTTAGGTATGCTAGACATTATCTCGATGTATTTAGACTAATGAGTAGCTTACAAGAAACATGTGTGAACGTGTCAACGTTCGCATAACTTATCTACAACTTACTGTATGGTCTGCGTATGCGGGATGATGCATGAGCCATACACTGGCATATGTCTGAAAATTTTGTGCTTGCACAAAATTACGACGACGTACACCATCGTGCTCTTAACTTACCCAAAACTTGACGTACGCCAACGCGTTCATTACTAATTTTTCATACATCGGCATACGCTGGCTAAATCGTCAGTTCGTGACAGGGCCATACTGTAATGACATTTGGAAATAACAATGAGGTGTAATTGATATGCAAAGTTATCAACATTTTCATTTTCACACATGCAGTAGCAGTATTGTAAAATAGTTAATTGTTGCAGACTTGTCATTTAAGGTGCGCGATTGTGCACCTAAACTGCTATCGCGAGGTGTAAAAAATCGCCTCCACAGCCCTCGAAAAACGTAAACGATGCTAGGCCTAGGCTGAAAAACGTCTTTATACCGATATCGTGGGTCATTATACATTTTGGGTACAATGTACAAACTTCTACAAACCGAACAAACTGTTAAACGATTTCCGGATGAAATAATGCAATAATCGCATTGCTGTCTAGGAATTAACAACTAATGTAGGCCTAGCACAACACCCTGTGAATAAACTGTTCGTACAACAGTACAACAACAACCCACGTGTTTTGTTGCGACATCATAAATGAAGCTGCTCGCGTGACCTCTAGGACCACACTCCTGAAAAGAAGTTTATTTATAGTTTTGAGCGAAGCGATTTCGAATAAAAACGTTTCAAAATGTAACTATGAAAATAATTATATAAACAACACAAACCATTGCTTGATTGTCATAGAAAATGTAGTAGGAATCCAGTACAGCACTGTATAGTGAGTATAGTATAATTACAAATACTAGCCCCTCATTCAAAGCCTAGGCTAATTAACTGGGCTAGGAGCATGGGCCCAAGCTAGACAGACGGCGCCTGATTTTCGCTGCGGTTTGCAATCTGAACTTTTTGGGAGTAGGTTTAACGACCGGTAGGTTTAACGACCAAACTTCGAGGGGAAAATCGCGTATAAAATTTGCGGCTTATTCACTGGAAAATACGGTTTATGGAGCAAAAACTTGTGTTTCTTCATGATTAAGGGGGTGAGAGAATTTGTATGAGGCTGGGCGGAACTTGCCTTAAAAATAGCTTTAGGATGGGCGCAAGACGTCAAGAGTGGGCGGCGCCGCCCACCTCCGCCCTGCATAACGACATCCCTGCACTTCTCAGAACCCCTTACACCCCCTTCTTCATAAATTTCTGGATCCGCCTCTGATTTTTTTTGACTGAAAATGAAAATACTGTATTACCTTACACAATCATTATTCAAAAAGATACAATAAGTTTATTGCAATTCACAAATATACATTGATTTTTTACGTACAAAGGAACGTACGCACCCGCAGGGTTCAGGTTGATTTTTAAGTATTGGAAGTGATTAGTGTTTGTGTCCTTGGGCAAGACACTATTGTCTCTCTACCCAGGAGTCTAAATGGGTACATGCATGTGGACTTGCTGTGCACGAGAACAAACAAGGTCTTTAACTACTTGTGAATAATGTTGGTCATTTTAAAGTGAACCTTTACTGTCAGTGTATATTATAGTGCAATGCCATAAGTGGAATGTGCATTATACTATAGACAACTTGAAGGGTACTACTTAGCAAAACAAAGATTATAGACAAAATAAGGATGTGCAAATACTGGTTTTGGTTAATTTTAGAAATTAAGTGTAATGGATCTTTACTTAACTTTTTAATATTTAGTATTTTGAGCATGTAGAAGAGGCCTGTTGGGCAATAGAAGTTCTAAAGAAAACTGGTAAACCAATTGCGGCTTCGCTCTGCATCGGCCCAGAAGGTGACCTCCATGGGGTGTCTACAGGAGACTGCGCCGTAAAGTTGGCCGAAGCAGGTAGTTTGGGGGTGAAAAAGATGTTGGGATTGCACATATCAATGCTTTGATGTTTGCCCCGAATAAGAATATATACAATGTCATTCTTACGGTTTTTACACAGTGGTGGCGCCAGAGCTAGGATGGTAACAAACAAAAACCTACTGCTGTGATTACCATGATTGCCGGTCCCTTGTAGTAAAAAAAAAGCACAACAAAATCTCATCACTTAGGCCTTTTTTCTGGGAGGGACCCACTTTTTTTACCCCACTCCTACCACGTCCATGCTGCTACTTAGCTGTCGACAAATTTCTGGAGCCACCACTGTTTTTACTACTGTATTGATCTCTTGTCTATGACTTCAATTTTGCTTCTGGATATTGTTCAGTATTTGACACAATGTAAAAGTAATTTTAAATTGGTCAACAAATTTTTATTTAAAATACTGTTGCATAGCTTTCTATATGTAGTGTTTTATGCAACTGCAGGCAATGAAATGTACATTTTCAGCTCGATTTTCTCATCAAATTTTGAGAACCAATTTTAAGTGGAATATTTTGCTAAGCAAGTTCGATAAATGTGACCCAATATGAACAACTGCACAAGTCTAATAATAATCATGCTTGTAATTCTTTTTGAATAATAGAAGCACTTCAGTTTTCTCTTTAGATTATTAGAATAAACATGTGCTCACAATACACTGTACAGTACATGCATTTCTTGTCCATTTAACATTTATGGTTTATGGTTTTTTTTTGGTTTTTTTGACTTGCTAACTTTTTCTAGGATGTAAAATTGGTAGAGGATTGCTTCATGCAATGAGCTGGAAGTAGTTTTAAATTAATAACTGAATGGTAGCACATTTATGTTGGTACTGTACAATTGAAGTACTGTATTGTACGTGAAAGCTTTTTCTTACCCTGTATTCTGATGTGCACTTTTTGTGGATAAATACTGATCATAGGCAAAAAAAATATAAACTGCTCAACCATGACCACCAAATATTTTTGCAAATATTAAAAATTTTCCAAAATATATTTATTGAACTCAAAATGCTTGTACGAACTCAATTTTAGCCCTTCCCAGGGATACATTTTATCATCCACAACGGATGGGACTGATGCCAATATACAACAGTATAAAACTTTTCTACCAATAGACACGGATTTCCCATTATCACTCTGCACTATTTTTTTGGTCGAGATGCACCTACACAAGCCACTGTTACACAATTACTGTTTAATGCAACATACATTTAATTACAGGAACGCATGGAAATCGCCTGCCATTTATCTAACCATTGTAGTGGAACTGTGTAAATAATCTGTTTTTATGTCTTAATGTTTTTTGGGTGGCAGGAGGTGGGGTTGGCAAGCAAATTTTGGTTACATAGTAACCGATGAGTAAATTTTCCTAAAAATATACAAGTATAAATTTTGAAATTACCACTTAATTGTCAATATTTTGTAGGTGCTGATGTTGTTGGAATCAACTGCCATTTCGACCCCCAAATCTGTTTGGATGCTGTTCAACTTATGAAGGATGCTCTCATGAACGCAGGACTAAAGCGCCACCTAATGGTGCAACCACTAGGCTATGTAACACCAGACTGCGGCCGTCAGGGCTTTATCGACTTGCCTGAATTTCCATTTGGTATGCTGATTTCTGTTTTTACATTGTAGATTGCTCACAACAATCAGGTAGACACGTATTTGTGTGTTGTTTTGCAGTATGCATGCTCGGTCATTGTCATTTTTCTTTAATTTTGGCTCTTGCAACAGAAAAAGCATTGGTAGTACTGTACAACAGGGATAGTCAGTGGCGTAATGCCTAATGCGGCCTTGTGCGACGGTCCACAGAGCCCCCGACCCCTAGGGGCCCCACCTGTATGGTCCTCGTATCACCCTGAACAAAGAGTTTTGTTGATTCATAACAGCATAGTGTATCTTAGAATATTATATTCACACCATTTCCCACCATCTAGAGGTGCCACAATTACAAAGTTTCTTATCTTGGCCCCAACCATGGTGGGCTAAGGTGGTATAGACCCTCCACCTCTGAAAGTTCCTCCCTCCACCTCTGAAAGTTCCTCCCTGGTTTCCTCCTCCATTTGCCACTGATATATCATTTATTCGGTGTTAAAAACATTTAGAATAACCAAAACAAACATGAGTGAAAATGAGCACATCCAAAACCCAGAAATTTTTCCGACCGATGGGGGACTCTAGCCTCAGTCCTGATCCCAGATTTAAAAATTCCTGGTAGGGTTCATGGGAGTTTTTAGAGCTTAGTATGTGCTTTTAGACCACAACATTATGAATTGGCAATTAAAATGTTAATTGGATAGGCAAATATTTTTTTAAATTTTTGATCAAGACATAGTCGTGGCGTCAGACAAGGGGCCCCAGTCTCGGAAAGCCACAGGGCATCCGACCCATTTTTACGCCACTGGATGTAGTTATAGTGGGCAGGGCCACCCAGCCTTGAAGTTTTCCACCCAGTCTAAAGCTCATTTCATGGCCCTCCACCCACCCTTATTAACCCACTTTTACATCCTTAAAATCCACTCTTATACTCTTGCAATTTGAATACAATATTTAAAAAAACTTAATTTCAGGCTTGGAGCCCAGAATCATCACCCGCTGGGAAGCACATGCCTATGCTCGTAGGGCTTATGAGATGGGTATACGATACATAGGAGGCTGCTGTGGTATTGAGCCATACCATGTACGTGCAATGGCAGAGGAACTTGCAAATGAGAGAGGCTTCCTGCCAATGGCATCTGAAAAGCATGGAATGTGGGGAGAAGGCTTGAAGATGCACACAAAACCTTGGGTTAGAGCAAGGTGAGCTGGACAAGTGTGCTATGAAATAAAGTACTTGATAAATATTTAATGTCTATTATATATTGCCAATAGGAGGGGTTTTTGATAATAAAATGTCCTCCAATCAAATACAAGGAAATATATTGACTTGTACTTCTGCTGTTTAATCAATTGGAAATTTATAATGCGCATCTACCGTTCATAAACTCATGGTGCATTTGTTGCAAATCTGGGTTTGTGCTTTCATACTTGCCTAAGTCGATCTAATTTCACATGTCAAATTATTGTTTTCCATATTTAACAAACTGCAAGTCAATTTTCAATACATTTGGATTAACTATAAGAACCGCAATAACATGAAATTAACAGTGAATTAAATTTAGTATCTCAGTACTGTATATAATACTGTATAGTAACATTGCATTTTATATTCCAGAGCAAGACCAGAGTACTGGAAGAATTTAAAACCAGCTAGTGGCAGACCATTCTGTTCTTCCTTGGCCAAGCCAGATGCATGGGGTGTTACAGCTGGTTCTGAGGACCTGAAGCAGAAGAAGGAAGAAACCACACAACAAGAGCTTCAGGCTTTGTTTAACAAGGCTTCATGAGACATCTTGAGCAAGATTGAAATGATTAAGCATTAATTTGTATTATGAATCTGGACTTGTAGAACTAGTATCCAGGCAACCTCATCTCATCATTGCAGCTAATTATTAGTTAAACAATATTTTCCAATGCAGCTAATTAATGTTTTAAACAAATACATTATTGGTCAATAATTTAATTCCAGTATCAATGGAAACCAGGGTCATGTACTATATTCATACCCAGTGCCCCGATTTATAAGCAATTATTTTGGTATGTATATGGGCATGTGGTTTATACAATGAACAAACTTAATAAAGTACTTTATGAATGTTTGATTTGTCAGTACAGTATATACTAAATCAATGTGTAATAATCCATGCGAGATGAGTGGACAGAAGCACTAGAGCTGTAGCTTCCCTTTTAATCCAGGGTCCTGGGTAAAGGTCCTGGCAATGAAACTTTCCTTTAAGCCCACACAATATCGGTGAAAATACGAGCACACGCGTTTGTTGGGCGTGTGTTTGTGAGATGCATGTATTCCTGGCCCTGTTCCGATTGGTCAGTTTGATTGACCTAGAAATGTCCATTATTTTTGTCAAAATGAAAACTGGCAGCATTCATAAACATTAATTGGTAGATTTTAATAGATTTCTAAGCTTTGCAGACAGTAGGAACAGTACATCTATATTATTATTCTTGTGAGAACCATCATTTGTTTCTACTCTGTACTCTTGTGACTTCTTTTGGCGTTCCAATCTGCAATCTGAATCTCTCTTGTACACCTGCTAGGTTATCATTTGATGGAATAGACCTTGATGGTCCTATGCTTGGATTCAGAACAAACTCTCCTGAAATTGTAATAACAAATTAGCACGAGGTAGTGCCTATTAATTAGACCAAAATTATGCATACCCAAATTTTACCTATAGCATCAGTTACTATACATTTTACCAGCCAAAATGCATATTATGATGGGTGATGTCCATAAACGGATTAAAACTAATGCCAAAAACACCTGTAATTCTGAAGACGACTTGGTTATTAATTCCACATACAGAAATTAATACCGACATTTGCGTTTTCCCCCTAATCATTGGATATGGATTCAATTACAACATGCAACTGCCTTTGCTGTACATTCGCGCTGTTATGAGGTTAAAAATAGCAAATTAGATCAAAAACAGGGTGGTTTTGTATCTGCAACACATCATTTTTTAATTTTTAAATTATGTTTGTGCAGATCATCTGTTATCTGTTACTAGTTATTCTGAGTGAAACAGGGGTAGTAGTATACGCGAGAATATACTGTAATTCAGCACTACCAATTCCATGCTGAACTGCCTCTTACCAGGTACCTGTACCCATTAAAGAGAGGTCGTTGGAGTCGAAGCTTTAACTGCTGTGCCACATGACACCAAGAAACCTGGTACTGTACTTACGCTGGGCTGGTGATAGTCTTGCATCAGACCGCCCATCTGTTCCTTTGAAATTCGTTAGTTCTACAGATAACAATTATAAATGATTATTTCATTGCTGATATACCCTTGCCAATCTATACTGGTTTTGTGCACTCCTAACTACTGTACTCTTATTATAAATTTAAAAAATGGCGCTGCAAATTGTCTCACCTTGGTCTCTTGCGGGAAATGTATGAGCGGAGAAGTTAGACTGCACTGATGATGCAAGGTTATTCACCGATAAGCTTCGTCTGAAGAATGTACAATTCAATTATGAATTGTATTATTCGATGTATAAAGAGAGCTTTTGTCTTTACTGAAAATGTACTATTTGAATATTGCACTACTCTACTATGCTCTTTTACATTATATCATAATTTACTATTTTTTCATGTTCTGGTCATCCTTTATTTTTGCATGCAATCAGAAAGATTCTTGGAAAGAATTTCACTCACCGTCTAAGTGAATCGTACATACTCTGCAAAAAATGAACAGTAACAATAATTACTAATTACTGTAACGGTGTGCAGTAATTTATGGAATTCTTTAGACAAAAACATACAAAATTTGTAGAGTAGTCCTGTCAGGAAAAATTTGATCCGGGGCAAAAATCGGTCCGGCGGACTGATTTTTGCCTCATAATTACTTGCCAAATGCAGTCAACACAAGCAATGGACTTTGCTGTGCTCAGCACACTTGGGCATCTTGCATCCGCAATGAATTTTGGCGGAAAGAACGATTCCTAAGATTTTAGACGTGCATATGCTTATGCTTAATGATGTCCATAGCTGAAGCCCGAATTTGCATACATCACCTATATGTTTTCTGGGAGTCTTCGCGGTTAGTGAACAGAAGAATAGCAATAAGGAAAGGTTAAGCTATGTACACAGATATATACTAGTTATATTTTTAATAGTGTTGCAGTATATTTGCCCATATATATATATATATATATATATATATATATATATTAAAAGGCAGAATACTGAAAAACAACAATGCCATGGAAAACCATGGCTGGATCTCATTAGAGATACAAAAATGATAAGCAACAGCTAAAAAGTAAACGCAAGTAAACAGCCAGAAATAGAACCAGAGCTTTCGGACAACACTAGCCCTTCCTCAGTGGCGAGTATATATATATATTTACCGGTGCGAATTATAAATTTGAAATTAAATTTTATGTCAATGTATGTAACGGTTCATTTTCGGACATACTGTATAGGAATATCTAATAAATACATACATAACATGCACATATTATTGTCATGGAGGAATGCTATTTTATATATATATATATATATATATATATACTGTATATATATATATATAACGAACGAAACATCATGTACAAGGGTTTTTGAAATCTGCGCTAACCAACACAGTGAGTGGTTAGTAATCGGTCTGCAAAGTTCGAACCAACAATCAAAACTGTTTGACTGAAGCCCTAATTTGCATACATCAACCTATATAAGAGTTTAAGATGGGAATGTATTTGGCTTATAGTTGATAGCAGAGACTTTGTGGGTTACTGTAGTGAACGTGGAGGAATAAGGAAAGACCAAGCTATATAGGCTCGAAAGTACAGATATATACCAGTTGTTAAAAACATGTCTTTTAGTTGTGTGTGTGTATATATATATATATATACACATATATGTATGTATATATGTATGTGTATATACGTATGTATATATACTGTCTATATAGGATATAGGCCTATGTCCATATATCCAGCTATTGTTTCCCACGGCATTGTTTTCCAGTACCTTACTCTCTAGACGACCGAAAATATCCTCTGAGGTGTATTAGGCGATCAATTATTTCTTTTTCTTTTATTTTCCCTTTTTTCAGAGACAGGACCAACCACCATACCCTCTTCTAAATCCGTGCCTGTTAATATATTTGGTAGAAAGAGGGGGTGGGTGAACGTGTGTTCAATGATATACTGTATACAACGATATTCCCTGCTGTTGGATCATGATTCTTTCCTTATTTTCAGCAGGTTATTGACTTATTAAAATGTCAAATAATTATAGCTTCCTTGTAAGGTGTACATACACCCTGAAACTAAAAAGTAAGCACAACCTTTCTTTTACTTCTTATACTGTACCAGTACTAACCAAAACGAGCCTCTGCTATCAAATGAATTCCTTCGCATACAGCTGCTGTAGCCTAAATATATACGTCGATGTATGCAAAATAGGCTCAAGATTGGACTTAACCCATCACCTTCATTTTCATTGGTCGTTCAATTTCTAGTTTCCCACCAAAAGCTTTTCCCTCAAAATCTACCGATTAGTAAGCACTCACTGTGCTATAATTAATTGATGAGAGCAGGAAGGAAGAAGATAGTAAGGCATTTCTAAAAACTATACTGTAATTCGTTCCTAACCCAACCTAATGATAGGCCATACCAAATATCATGTTAATATAATATCACCCGTGATATATTATTGCTTATGCTCTAGTTAGAATCATGAGAAAACACAATTAAACATTACAAGATCTTACACTTAACCTCTAAAAGAAGTCTCCAAAAAAAACCAACATATAATAACTTCGATCTCTATTCTGCTATCTATGGTTTGCTTTGCAATTAGACCATATTAATAATACACAGCACTAGAAGATGCAATTCCCCCATTGAATGGTTGATTCATTTGAAAATCTAAACAAAATCGAGTCCGATAGTTGGATCAACGTTGGCCCGATAATGCTTGTGCAACGTCGTCCGTCGTTCGTTTTCTAATGTTGTCTAGACGTTCGCTTTCCCATCGGGCCAACATTGGTTCAGCCAGTTGGAAAGACGTCGGTCCGACTAGTTGGATCAACGTTGGGCCGATGTTTATGCAACGTCATGAAACTACGTTGGGCCAACGTTCCTTTTCTGATGTTGCCTAGACGTTCACTTTTCCATCGAGCCAACGTCGATTCAGTCAGCTTTTCCCTCAAAATCTACCGATGGAAATCCGTCGGTTCGACTAAGGGATCAACGTCGGCCTGATATGTTGGTACAACGTCATCCAACTACGTTGGGCCAACATATTTTTTCTGATGTTGCCTAGATGTTCGCTTTTCCATCGGGCAACATCGATTCAGGCAGTTGGAAAGACGTTGGTCCGACTAGTTGAGTCAACGTCGGACCGATAATGTTTATGCAACGTCATCAAACCACGTTGGCTAGAATAACGTTGACCCGACGTTAAGCTAAGCACACGTATTTTCATAAAATGTCGTCTTAACTACTGTACTGGTTGGAGCAACGGTGATCCGAAGTTTGTTTTAGAGCCGACTTCAATATACCGGCACAATGAAGGTTGATTGGTCGAGGTGCATTGTAATTTATATGGCAGCATCACGACGTCGCTGTTCTGACATGTTTTAGTCTGTGTTGAGTATTTGTTACAGTGTCTTAACTATGCAAAATATTGATGGAATTTAAAACTATAAAAAAATAGATAGTAACATAGATTATTCTAGCGTTTTAAAAGAAAGTACCCAATACAATAAAATCTTTCACTTTATTATTTTATTACGATAAATGAATGTATATACTATAGTATGTATACATAACATATACTAGAGTCTATATCAATTAGGCGTAATACACTAATGGTTGATTTAAACTCAAAACAAAAATGACATGATATTCTGTGCATTTAAAAAAAATTCTTAAACTCAGTCTGGGTCATTGAGATAGTACACTGGAAGAAAGTCCAAGATGATCAAGCCATTGTATTCGTGTGGCTTTATGCATTTTTATTATTAATAGGCCTATCACAATTTTATCAAATTTAGTAGGTGCATAAAAGCCTAAATTTAAAAATAATGATTTAGTGTACAATCTTTAATTATGTTTTCCTGGTGTCTAAAATTACAAGTTTAAAAAAACATCTGAAATAAAATTTAAATGTAAATACGAAGATTTGAAATCCGGTTTAAATTTAAAGAATATAGTGCCTGAAATGGCATGTTGTTCAGTCACTGTCAGTTAAATGAAGAACTTCTTCCACTTGTGCTGTAGTTGAAAGGAAAAAGAAAACAGGTATATTGTGTACAGTGTTTGGAAAGATTCGTAATGTTCATAATAACGTATTAGTGGTCTAATAATAATAATAAACATTTATATAGCGCTAATTCAAAAATTTATCAAAGGCGCAGGAGAAAACAAACTCAGTAACATTTCTCAAAAAGGTGAAACTTTAAGTTCTTCTTAAAAGAATATAAATTAGGCGAATTACGAACAGAAAAAGGAAGAGAATTCCACAGAGAAGGAGCTTGAACAGAAAAAGCATGTTGACTATATGTTTTGGTTTTGTTTCGAGGAGATGGAACTGTCAAAAGATTTTTTGAAGATGAACGAAGATGGCGGATAGGTACATGACATTATAAGTGATGCAACAAATATAATGGTTTGTGAAATGCAAGTAACTTATATACCAAAAGAAGCAATTTGAAAATACAACGTTGTTTAATGGGAAGCCAATGAAGACACTTTAGGGCTGGTGTTATGTGTTGACGTCTTGGGATCAGTGAAACAATACGAGCAGCAGAATTTTGGATTTTTTGTAAACGCAGAATTGTGGTATCGGGTAGTGCAATAAAAAGTGAGTTGCAATAATCTAACTTAGATGAAATGAAGGCATGGACTAAAACTTCGGCTGATTTATGTGAAAGAAACTTTCGTATTCTCCAAAGATTACGTATAAAAAGAAAGAAGATTTACAGAGCGCAGATATATGTGGAACAAACGTAAGACTTTCATCAAGAATAACGCCAAGACTTCGAACAGATGAAACTGGGTTAATGGGAATGTCATCAATATATATGGACTGAAATTGAGGTTTTGGGGCGTAATTTTGAATGAAACACAATAAATTCTGTTTTAGATGGATTCAATTTAAGCATGTTGCTGGTCATCCATTTATGAATATGAATGACACAATTTTGAACTTTCTCAATTTTAGATGAAGCGTTTGACTGGTGAATAGATGAAGTGTTTTGACAAGTGAATATTTGAATGTCATCAGCATAGAAATGGAAATGAAGTCCATGAGATTGTATGATATTTGAAACAGGTGACATATAAAGAAGAAATAAAAGCGGTCCAAGCACACTCCCTTGCGGCACACCATAATACAGGGGCACGTGTTCAGAAACAGAATCATCAATACTAACTTTCTGAAAACGGGATGAAAGAAAAGAAGAAAACCAACAAAGGACAACACCGGTAAAACCAAACTGGAAAGTGAGTCTACGGATGAGAATAGAATGATCAATAGTATCAAAAGCGGCAGATAAATCTAACTGTACAAAAGCGACTGATTTACTCATATCAATAAAGGAGAATATATCATTAAGAATGGAATTAAGGGCAGATTCAGTGGAGTGGAACGGTTTGTAAGCAGATTGATAGATGTCATTAAGCTGGCTGGCTGAGATAGTTCGAAATTTGAGATGCCACGCATTTTTCAATACATTTGGAAACAAATGATAAATTGGATATAGGATGGTAATTAGCAATGATTTCTATATCAATGTTCTGTTTTTTAATTAAGGGTTTCACCAAGGCCGTTTTGTAACAGTCAGGAAAAATTCCATTGGATAAAGACGAGTTAATAATTTTCATGATATATGGTGAAACTATATCTGAACATTTCTTTAAAAGATTTGTCGGAATAGGATCAAGTGAACATGAAGCATTTGAAGATGAATTAATTAAATCTAAAGTATCTGTTTTTTTTTCTCGAACTTTAACTTCCATTAAAGGTATGTGTCTCAAAAACCTCAAAAATAGAATCGTTAAAAAGTTAGCTGAGACATTAACATCCAACTAATACTGATACGTAATCCAAACGTATGAAGTAGAAATTAAGGTTACCTCTCTGCTTCTCGGCTCTGTCCTTTCTTCCACCTAATCGGTCTTAACTGTACTTAAGCCATGAATTTATTTTTTCCTCAGATGTAGCTTCAGTGATATCCCTTAAAGTCCTTTTTGCCAAAGCTAAATCAATTAAAAGTTTAAATTGACACAACTACTGATAGTCATATGGGTTTATGGGTATCACTTGAGAAAGAAATGGTAGAAACGCTTTGTGCACATGTATTTAAAATTATTTTAATATTATAGTAACAGAAACACGAATAGATCGATCCTCAAAACTTTCTCAACGAGAGAGAAAACATTATGAAGTAAAGTAGGTGGTCATCAAACTGCATAACCAGTGAATGTGCAAAGTACAGTAATAACAATAAACTAACATTGTTTATTTCGTTATTTTTACTGTTATTACTTTGTTCACTGTTATATATATATATATATGTATATATATATATAATTACATGTATATATAAATATATATATGATATATTCCATATATATGTATATATATATAATATATATATATTTAGTAAATAATATTCAAAAGCTTTGCTGCAATGCATATATATATATATATATATATATATATATATATAGGCCTATATATATTATTAATATTGATATTATTTTTGTTAATTGTGCTAACATCCAATTAAATCACTATTATTAACACATAAACACCATATTGATCATGTGATATCCTGCTACATTAATGACCTACATGCCTGCCAGTCTCAAACAGTTAGTAAAAAGTATAATGATTGATTTGAAATGAAAGGACAAGTCAGGTATGTAAAGTTCACAGGCCCAAATTAATAAACAGTCCAGTAAGACTGTGAAATACATCACTTCAGGACATCAATCATGGTAGCTTTGGCACTAAATACGGAGTGGCAAGTCAGACTCAGCAAATACCCGTAGTGCTGAGTGTATTGAATACGGTATTTCAAAATAAAAGTTTAGGCCCTATGTCCGTTTTTAGGAGTTTGAACATTTTAAAATAATTAATACAATAGTATTAATATTGGACTTGACTAATTAGGTCTAAAACTCGCCTGGAGAAATGGTGAAAAAGCCACTCGATCAACCCTCTAAAAGTAAAATATGTTACACCCTTCCGTTTTAAATTTCACCTGCTAAGAAAAGCTATCAAAATGAGATAAACTCCCATTTTGCCATCTAAGTACGATTGGCAATAATAAGATTCGAACTAGCTTGGCATAAATTAAAGGTTGTGTAATGGTAAAATACTCACCTTTTCGACCTATGATTCGACACACCTTACACTCGTACAACAAAAACAGGAATGGCGTTGTTTCAGTAATGAATCCCGCATTTTTGAACTTGAAACGAGAACACGCGGCACTGATTGGTCAATGTGGGAAACGAATACAATGTATAGATTTAGGAAGCACTTTATTTGAGAATACTATACCAATATTTCGACCTATCCTTAGGTCTTTATGAAGGTGCATCAAATTATTTATCTTGTTGTTATCGTACTGACACACAAGTGGCACCTCGCATTGTTGTTGACGACCTGAAGCCAACATGAGCCCAACAGTAGTACTGAGTCATCCTTTCAGACGTTTCCCGACGTTGGGCCAACAACGGAACGTACTAACATTTTAACATCGCACCAAAGGCATACTGTGATATTGACACAAAATATGTAATCACTGCTAACTTTTACAAACTCTAGTGAACGGTAGCCCTGTAGTAGTACACAGCCATCTTTCAAATGTTTACCGACGTCGGGCCAACAACGTACTGCGACGTTGCAACAACGTCTATAACAATATCCAATATTTACAACCTTTAATCAACGTCGGCCCAACAATGGTACCCAACATCTATTTCAAACGTTTCCTGACGTCGGGCCAACAAACTACTGTGACGTTGCGACGTCTATAGTCACATCTAATATTTACAACCTTTAAACAACGTCAGCCCAGCAATATAGTGACCAACCGACGTCGGTAAACGTTTGAAATTTACAACCTCTAACCAACGTCGACCCAGCTGTTGTCACCAACCTCCACTAATGTTCACCGACGTCGGGCCAATAGCATTCTGTGACGTTGAGACTACATCTGTAATCACATCTAGGCTAATATTTACAACCTCTGGCCAACGTCAGCCCAACAGCGGTACCCAACGTCTATTTCAAATGTTTACCGACGCCAGGCCAACGAAGTACCGTGACGTTGTGACAACGTCTATAATCACATCCTAATATTTACAACTTCTTACCAACGTCGGACCAACAGTTGTAACCAACCTCCATTTCAAACGTTTACCGACGTCGGGCCAACAACGTACTGTGATGTTACGACCACGTCTATAATCACATTTAATATTTACAACCTCTAACCAACGTCGGCCAAACGGTTGTAACCAACCTCCATAATATATATAATTATAGACATTGTCGTAATGTCAAAGTACCTTGTTGGCCCGACGTCGGTAAACGTTTGAAATAGATATTGGGTACCACCGCTGGGCTGATGTTTCTCAGAGACTGAAAACATTATGAATGATTATAGACGTCGCAACATCACAGTACTGTTGGCCCGACGTCGGTAAACGTTTGAAATTTACAACTTCTAACCAATGTCGGCCCAACTGTTGTCACCAACCTCCACTAAGGTTTACTGACGTCGGGCCAACAAAGTACTGTGACGTTGGGACAACGTCTATAATCACATCCTAATGTTTACAACCTCTAACCAACGTCAGAGCAACGGTTGTAACCAACCTTCATTTCAAACGTTTACCGACGTCGGGCCAACAGCGTTCTGTGACGTTGAGACAACATCTGTAATCACATTTAATATTTACAACCTCTGGCCAACGTCGGCCCAACGGTGGTAACCAACGTCTATTTCAAACATTTACCGACGTCGGGCCAACAAAGTACTCCGACGTTGCGACGTCTGTTACCACATCCTAATATTTACAACTGCTAACCAACGTCGGGCCAACGGTTTTAACCAACCTCTATTTCATACGTTTACCGACGTCGGGCCAACAACATACAGTGACGTTGAGACAACGTCTGCAATCACATCTAATATTTACAACCTCTAGCCAACGTTGGGCCAACGGTAGTAATCAACCATCTTTTTAGTATTTTGTCGACGTTGGGCCAGTAACAAATCGTGACGTCTTACCAACGTCCGTAGTCAGACTGAATATTTACGACGGCTTACCAACGTTGGTAAGACATCGGAAAATCGACAAAAATATTCATACGTTGGGCAATGTGAAATTCCAAGGTTGGTTTGACGTTACCTCTCCGACCAAATTTTGCAACCAAACACCAACGTCGTACCAACGTCAGATATCCGACCCCGACGCTTACCGACGCTTTACCAACATTGGGCTAACGTCGCTTTGCTAGCTGGGATACTGCCAGTCTAGTGTAAACCACTCGCTATTAATTTCAATTCACAGTTATCAGGAAAACAATATTTTTCTACTCGAATCCTAGCCCGGGCACAAAATGATGCGTAGTATTTTATACATTTCCGACATGAAAAGTGATTAGACAGGCCTTAGACCACCTCTAAGATTATTAATACGAGCACTAGTAGCTTAGATATCGGACCGCTGGTCAAGTGTAGACCACCTTGCTATGGATTTCATGGTGGGGTGGGTGGGGTTTACTATTTGTAGTTCCTACATTAAGCTTAAATTGAGGGAGATGTACTCTAAAATTATTAAAAATATCTCAATTGACATTTAACATCATATAGCATAGTATATATATCTGTCTCTTATACACATCTAGATGTGTATAAGAGACAGATATATATATATATTATATATATATATAACACGTACCAGCCTCTTTCCTACGAAATAAAGTCAACTGAGAATACGGTACATCTTATACTGAGGGGTGTATACGAAATAGGATTCAGATTGGACTTAAGCCATCATCTTCTTTTCATTGGTCGTTCAATTTCAATTTTCCCACCAAAAGATTTTCTCTCTATGCAGACTGATAAGTAACCACTCACTGTGCTGTGATTGGTTGAGACTAAACCCGTATAGTGTAGCACTGTAGCAGGCGGAACAATTTAGGCAAAGCCAATACTAGTCCTGGCCAGACCAATATTATCCAAGGAGGACTGATTTTGGCGGCTAAAATCTGTCCCCCGGACTAATGATGGCAGCCAAAATTGGTCCGGGCGACCGATTTTGGCCCGGACCAATCTTCATTCATTCATTCAAGGTTTATTCAAAAAAGTGTCGCAGTTAAAAACTGAATTACAACAAATGGTTACAATATAAAATTATTAAAATTTACAAATATATAAACATTAGGAATATAGGTCTAATTACAAATATTTGAAACATAGAAAAACAACGATTCATCAAGATCAATATATAAAAACGAATGAAAAATTAACGCAGGAAACCTAGAAACCTAATATGCAGTACTTATCATCATTATCAACATCATAAAAATTATCTTTATTATAGTTATTATTATTATTTATTTATTTATTATTTATTTATTATTTATTATTATTAAGAGCATTGACAAGGTAAGGAATGGGGCTATTTTTGTAACGCAAGGTGTCAAAAGGTGGGCAGGTAAGATCTTTATTGTTTCTTAGTTTATAATTATGCATCCGTTCTCTTAAAGGGGGAAGCCAATTACGGAATTCACTTTTGAGCAAAGATTTGGCGTGACAGTCCTACTACAGTACTGTAATAAGTTGTCCAGTGGTGTGCATGTACTGCACCTCAACTTTACAATGAATAAGTTCCTTCTGAAATTAATTATAAAAAAAAAATCCAGTTGCAGTAGTGTTTACCGTACCTGCATGAAATAAGCGACCATTTGAAAATAATATTTTATTTCATAATTCTCGGTACGAGAATACATGAGCCTGCCCGCTACGCTTGCATTCAATACGTTCGACGCGCTTACAGTGATCGTTACCGGGTTTTTCAAACTCCAATATTGTTCACAAAAATCTCTATCAAGTGGATTGTTTTGTTAATTTTCATTCATTGGTGAGTATAAATTGTTTCTGGAATCTGATTTGATTAATAATGGACG